CACACACACCCTCTCCCCCCCACCCCATTCAGCTCAGGGTTACCCAGCCCACATAGGCAGACCTTAACCTTGTCCTCATCTGTCCCTCCTCGTCCTCTGTCCCCCCTCCCCTCCTCAGGACGAAGACAGCRGCTGCAATGGCACCTCCTCCACCATGAGGGTGGTTCAGGACTACTCGGCGCTCAAGGAGAACGAGATCTGCGTGAGTCAGGGGGAGGTGGTCCAGGTCATGGCCACCAATCAGCAGAACATGTACCTCGTTCACCGACCGCTCAACAGCCAGTCCCCTGCTGCCGAGGGCTGGGTGCCGGGACACGTCTTAGGTCCGCTCACAAAGCCCATAAAAGACTCTTTCTCTACTTCCTCCTTTCCAGCAGCAGTAGCAGATGCCAACAATATCAAGTAAGTCCCCCTCCCCCGCCCCCCCAGCAGACACCACTGGACTGGATGAGCAGTGTTGAAGCACCGTCTGCCTGTTTTTGCTTGTTTGTGTTGTGTTTTTTTTTTAATTGGACAATAACTCCTCACACCCTTATCCCACACCTTTACCTCCTAACACCCCCCCGCCCTCGCCGCTCCCCAACCACACACACACTAACACACCCTCCTCCGTTCTGACCTCCTAGGAAGCTTTTTATTGAACCTCTGGGTTCTGCTGAGATTTAAGGTACCCCCCCCTCCCCCTCCTGTCAAACAGTTTGTTAGACTGCTGCTTCCTTTCTGAGCCTTCAMCCTCTCTGTGGTAACCACAGGGGAGGGGCTTTACTCAACCACAAACTGATGCAGACAGAAAACATGGTAGCTGACTCTGATGGAGCTAAAACTGTACTCTTATTCCAGTTCTAACACCAGCTCCTCTTCTTTATTTTGTATGTTTTGTTTTTGTTTACTGTTTTTTTTTTTTGTTTGTTTGTTTGTTTTTGACAGAATAAACTCACCTGGGTCTCTCAGGTGAATTCTGTTCTCCACAGAGGAGAAGATTTATTTTGTTGTCTGTGGCAATCTGTACACACATTTATGTTTACTCCTCTTGTTGTTGTTTTTCTGCCTTGTTAAATATTATTTTATTTTTTGGACAAAGTTGGRTTGATTTCCCTTCTTTGTCATGATTTGTTGACAGTCTTTGTTTGTTAAATCTGACTGAGGCTCTAGAACATTCCTGTTTTGTTTTGTTTTTTTTAAATGCCATTTGCACTATTTATAAAGATGAAAAAATTAATGAAGTCAGGCTGTGCAATATGTTTCATTTAATGGCAACGGTCAGCATTGTACTGTCGTAGTCTGATAAGCATTTTAATGTATTTTAAATCTGTAAAATAAACCTTTTGGACGTGAATTAGTGCAGCAGYGTGAGGTGAAGATGTTCTGTTCTACATTAGGATGAGGATGGTTGTAGTTTTTATTATTTGTAAATAAATTACAAGAGCAAACTGAACAGCTGTGTGACTTTATCTGCACATTTTAGGTACAAAGAGCTCTCCTTTGTAATTTTGGCAGAAATCCAACATTCAGTCAGAGCGACACATGAAAGTTTTATTTTGCATCTTTTCTCTGGTTATTTTTAGAATTTTGTGTTTTATTTTCTTTTATTTATTTTGTCTTTGTTTAGTTTGGTTTGGTTTTTAAGTTTGTACTAACACCAGCAGTTTTAAACTCCACAGAAGATTAAAAAATGCATCATTTATGCCTTATTTTGCCAAGTGGAAAAAGCTTTATTTTAACTTGTTTCATGACGAATAACTGGAGCAAAAACCGGTGTTGGATAAAGTACCTTACTTGAGTCAARGTACTGATCCTACAGGTCAAATATTACTCCAATAAAAGTAAAAGTAGCTCTGTCAAATTCTTACTTCAGTTAAAGTACAGGAGTGTGTGC